GAATATAAAAATAAAAATAAAATGATTATATTTATAATAATTAATTAAAGTAAATTCAATTATTTTCTATAAACTTAGAGTTTGACTAAAAATTTGTAGAATGGAACATTAAACCATTATTTATTTTTTTAGGGAAGAAATTATTTATATTTTATATTCCTACCATTTTTATGACCAATTGAAATAGCAGTCGGCTGGCCGATTAAGTGGGTTCTGTCTCTAATCCATTAAGTAGGTACGTCAAATTCTTCTACTGAATTATCAAAACATTCTCTTCTCTACCATTCCACCTGAGGCAGAAATCATTATTCACTTCCAACCAAAAAACATATCCAGAAAAATAACTTTGAATAACATTCCCATTCAAATTTTATTTTATTTATTCTACCTTTTTAATTCTTATTCCATAAAGTCACCATTCTGAAAAAAAAAAAAAAAAAAATCAAAGAATTTTGAATAGCTATGCTCATCAGAAAAAAACTGTACAAAACTCATCTAAAAGAAATGAAGAACAAAATTTACAGAAAATGTACAAAAAATATACTGGCCGCCGAGTGATAAACAACAAGGGGAAGTCAAACTAATCTTCAGGTCGTTGGATCTCCCCCATGAGAATGCGATTGCTGGAAACTTTGAAGCCAAGAAGAGCTGGATCTATCTGCCTACCTTTCTTCCCTTTTCTTTTACCAATCCGACCTGCTTGTGCACCATCCGATATCTCCTGTGCAGCTCCATTCAAAGTATCAACTTCGGAATGCACAGGTTTCTTAAGCACATCCATGAATGTTTCTGCCACAAAGGCATCCCCACAAGATGATGTCCTCCTAAACTGAGCGTCCTTCTTACTTGATGCCTGAGTTTCGGAAATTCGAGTTGCAACCGGAATTCCTATAGCCTCTCGTCTTACCTCTGAAAGTTTATGAGAGTGTCATCAGAAGTTAACAAAAAGTTATCTAGATCTGATTCACATTGGTTGACTACTCGAGTGATGAAATATCATACCGCTAGAAGTTGCAAGGGTTTTTGAACTCTTCTGCTTGACAAATGCTACTGAGGTCAAATCAGACACTACATCCATGGAGGATGATGCCCGCAACATAGGGGGACGTTTATGCAAAACATTGTCGAATGCTTTTGATGACCTATATCAATTGAAAGTGGACATAATGTAAGGAAAGCAAATGATGACTTAGGTTACATTGTTGATATGCTAACCAATATGTAAATCTTTTGTATACAGGTTGTGCCCCCTTGGCACAAATACTTAATACAATTCTCACACTTTTATTTCAAAAATAAAAAATAAAAAAAAATAATGTCAGGAAAGCAAAAGATTGGTAGCAGCTGTTCATATGTGAAAACCCCATAATTCCTTATGATGCACACAGTACAAGTTCAATTAATAATTGACAACAAATAGACAAAAGCATGGGCTACCTATGAGAGATGGTATTACGACCCATATGGTAATATTTTCTAATCACTGGCAGCTGCTCAATTAACATTTTCCAGCCACTACAAGAATAGAAATTCACATATACTAGCAAATATGTGTAAGAGAAAATGTCAATCCAAGTCATTTAACTATGTCTAAGACACCTTAGAAATCTCTAGTAAGTTTTGTTATAGCACGAAATCAACCAAAGACAGCAGACATCTCAGTGGTGATGCAACCAATCATTTACTTAAAACTACAGCTAATCATTTGCACCTAAACAACCCACAAAAAAGGTCCATTAGAGAATACTGAGCTTCATTCTACTAGCAGGTGTGTCAACATTGACCAGTTAACCTACCAGTTAGGTATTTCACTCAACTCTCGCTTATGGTTTGGCCATAACTTAGATATTTTTAATTATGAATTTCCAGTTAGGTTATTTTAATCCATTGGCTAGTGGAGATCAAACTGCAACCCTAAATTCCAAATAGGAAGAGCACACAAGTTCTTCCACCCAGGACAAAATCAATCAAATCATAAGCATGCATCTTAACACTTCCATCTTTCACTATGTCTACGTAGCAATCTAACAAGAAATTAGGAATATTTGGAACATCAGCTTATGATGATTTCTCCAGTGCAGAGGGGCTCAATTGTAATGCAAAAAACATCAGCACACCAACTCAAATCAAATATTAGATGACATCTTATCCACAGCATCAAGGTCATCACAAGAATTAATCCAGCAATGTAAAACAGCGTGAAAAGCACCTTACCTCTCATTAAAAATCTCCTCTCCCACTGATTTATCTGTTCCAATTTCACATGGAGCTCCATTTCCACCTGTGAGTCATTTGAAACAGCTTCTAAAATTTCATCCAGGAAAGGGTCCTAAAAAAGAAGACATTTTAAAGAGTTACCTGAACTACTCAGTGAGCTACTTCTGCTATGGGCATCAACTCTTAGCATCCCACCATCAATTGTTGTTTTTGTTTGCTCTGCCTCTAAAAAGGAGCTACCCATCATGCCCTTGGAGACATATCTCTTCCCTTCCAGCTCAGATAGATCTCTATCCATGGTTGACTTAGCAATCAGGTGTGGCTCTGGGAAACTAATATGCGGATCCTGAGGACCTAGGAACAGAGACTGTTCGGCTACTGATCCAGATTTTGATCTTAGCGGTACCTTTTCACTATTTCCCACAGGGTTTACTCGTTCATCAAAAGCTACACCAAACAAATGATTGTGCAACAAGGCATCCTGATTGCGATTTTGAAGTTCTTCCACAAATGAACTGTTTGTACCAGCTTCTTGAGTTATAGGAAAATTTGAAGTATACTGCTCAGAGAGAGGCACAAAGGCTTCCCGACCTCTAGAAGATGGAACATATGGATAATCAGTTTTTGATTGCTTTAGATTCAGAATCTCAAACAGAGCTTGCTTAGATTTGTCCCCATCGGTCATAGGAGCCCAAATGCTCGACTCTGAAGAAAAAGAATTTTCTGACATCTTCCTCTGCTTATCAGCCTCAAAATGCAACGAATGAAGATGTTTTTCAATCCAACTGTTTTCTGCTTGTCCCTTGTTTCCAGAGCGGTAGCTGTCCATTACATCTGGATGAGAAACATAAAACTCATCTGAGGGGATACCCGTAGAGAAAGAAACAAGTTGGTCATTGGCATGCATATGGTGGTGGTCTGACAAATCAAAAGCATTCACATTGTCCAAGTTGATGTCAGGTGCACCAGCAGCTAGCGACATTTTCCTCTCAAATGACAAAGAGCTGGGCTCAAAAAGCCCTCGGTGATGACGCTCCTGTAAAGCATGATTTCGTTTGAGGTTGCTTAAATGATCCTCAAGAGAGGAAAGCCTGTTCTGTCGGTGGTAAGTATCAGCAGCAGTAAATCCAACAGATGGAGGGAGGTGATGACCAGCAGGATTGCTGAAAAACTGATCAATTTCATCGACTGACCATTGCGGAACAATATGTCTTTCCCCATCCATTCCTAATTGTTGTTTAAGTGCCATTGACAACTGTTGCGCATGCAACTGCTCATGTTGCGAACAGAGCTGCTGTTCTGAAGGGAAAATACTGCCATGCTTTGGATGTGATATCATATCCAGTAAATCAGTTTGCTGCCCCCGCAGCGCATTCTGGCTAATCTTAGCTTGCATGATCTGCTCCATTGCTGGGTCAATGTGCCTTGGCGAGTGAAAACTCTGCTGTTGAAGCTCGCGAAGAAGATGCATCCTGAGCTGAAGTGGATCAACTAGATTGTCCCTCATAGGATCTAACTTTGGTTGCCCATAACCAGGATCAGACATCTGATGCTGAAGCAACTGTTCAAGAAGAAGCTGTTGAGCTTGAGAATGTTGCTGCTGCTGCACCAACTTCTTCAGATGTTGGTTCCGGAATTCTTGTTCTTGCTGCTGTTGCTGCTGCATCAATAACTGCTGCTGCATAAGTTCATGCTGCTGCTGAAGCTCAAGTTGCTGTTGAAGCTCAAGTTGCTGTTGAAGCTCAAGCTGCTGCCGAAGTTCAAGCTGCTGCCGAAGTTCAAGCTGTTGCCGAAGTTCCAGCTGTTGCCGAAGCTCAAGCTGCCGCTGCTGTTGAAACTTAAGCCGCAACAGATGTTCCATATCTTGCACTGAATGATGTTCCATATCTTGCGCTGGATAATGAAGTGATTGCTGGAGATTAGGATTCCTACTCTGCAAAGCAGCGAAACTTGGTATTTGCTCTACACCCAAACCGGTAGAATGTGAAAAAGAATCATTTACATGATTCTGTTGTTTAAAATGTTCCTGGAGAAACTTTTGTGAGGACATGTGCTCACCCAAGTCAAGTGCATTAAATTCCTGGTCCATAAGAGATAACTGCTGCGCACCAACAGGACCTAGACGTGCATTGGGGTTAATGCTAGAACTTCTACAATCATCAGACCATGTTTCCAGAAAAGCAGGTTTGTCAGCCATGGCTCTGAAAGAACTCGGACTGGCAAAAGCAGCATCTCTCTCAAGCAAATGATCGCTAAAGTGACTTCGATCAGTTAAATTTGAAGCCATGTTGGATGACTGAGAACCCCTCACATGAGAGGTCTCTCTAAGCTCAGACATCAGCAAACCAAAAGGATGTAATTTATCATCCTGATTAGTAGGCAAACAACCTTCTGAAAATTCATTTACAGGAGAAGGGTTAGTAGTATGATTGGAAAATGAACTACTAATGCCTGCAGCAGGAAACTTCAAATGGTCACTCTTGCTACTACCAGGCCTTCCAGGAAAGACAATTTCTGCATTAACAAGAAAATGAAAGTGACATCATGAGCAGTGAAAAGAATTAAATAAAAATTAATTGCAGATCCAGCCCAGAAACATACCCTCATCTTGAGCAACAAGATTTTGGAAGGACTGATAATCAGAATGCTGGATGTCAGAGTATGAACTTTGATTTGCACTTGACTTAGCATTCACACTTGAAGTAGCTTCAAAAGTAGATGAAGCCCACTTCCGCTCATTTATAGCTGTAGATTCAGGAGCAGAAGCAGAAATTAAGTCTCCTTCCTTAACACCACCAACAGTATTAAGTTGTGTGCTATTAACCAGATCAGTGTCAAGGCCCCGGCCAGCTCTTAATTTTAGATGTGGCATGACTTCCCCAAGTTCCTTAAATGTGATCCATCAGAGCATCTGATAATCGAATAGGTAAGTCAGTTCCAAAGAAACCTTGCTCAAACCATGCAATGATATCCCTCCCCTGATAGGGCCCCTGAATTACCACCCTGTGGGTCAAGATAACAAAAACTTAAATCCTCGGGATGGATAACAGTTTCTGGAGTATTTATGTTCTCTCAATCTCCAGAGGGAGGAGCTTGTTGCTTAGATTTTGTTCCTGTGATGTATAATCAAATACGGAACTTGAACTTCAGGAACCTTGATGCAAACTTCTGAAGTAGATGCCTTACTAACTTCAAACTTAGAATGTTTAGAAACCAAATCAACAACTTCTTGGTTCTCAAAAGATTTTGGTTCACTAACATTATTCTTGCAAGGTTAACCTCATTGCCACTGCTTGAAATGTATAACTTCAAACCTGCTAGCATTGAGGCCTTGGCTGCAGCAACATCAGCACATTTTGGGTCTTTGTCAGCATATCCAGACGTGTCCCTTTCTGAAATAAAGGGCACAAAGTTACACTAGAAAAACCAAATGCATTATATTTGCAGGAGAAATGAATCAGCAACTGTGAAGAAATATAAACAAAATTTTCTTACCCCAGCTGGTAACTATCTCCTGATCCAAAGCAGCATCTGCCTCACCACCATAAACTTGATTAGAGTTATTTTTAGCAACCATCTCGGAGATTTCAATCATTTCTTCTTTGTCAACTGAAGAACTGTATTCCCCCTCAGTAAAGGTCATATCACCATATCCTGAACATGACAAACCTGTTCCATCAGAAAGGAGTCTTAAGAGTTTACTAGCAGAAGTCGATGGAAATGCCACTTTGATTACCTATTGTACCATTACTTAGTCCGGAATTTCTGTCTAGAAACAAATTCGGTGACCCTCCACGCCCGATGATTCTTCCTTTCCACATATCCTCAATGACAGTCTGCAAGTATTATATAACCAACTTCAATTTGAATTATAATAAAAGAAGTTACCACCTAGAAAATTATAATCAATAGTGCCATACCTCCTCCTCTGCATCAGGAGCAACAAATGCTAAGGGCTCAATAGCACCTATTTGTGTTATTGGTGATATATCGTCCATATCGGGTACAGTACCAAAATTTGGAGAAGTTTTTTGCTTGCGATAAATGTCAAGAAGTTTTCCTCTTGGGTAGCGATATAAACCAGTAGGTTGACCAAATTTTAAAAACGTACTGCCATTCCTATCAACAGATGCAAATCCAATAGCAGATGTAGTGGGAGGCCTTCCAATCTGAAAACTTCCATTAATGCTACTATTAGATCTTCCTCGGCCAGGAGCAAACCGGAAACTTGAGCCCTCCATTCTTCCCTTCTCCAGCCCAAGTCCAGGTGGAGGGCGATATGGGGCAGATCCACCAGCATTAACTTCCATACGATGGCGTGGTCTCCACTTATCGCGAGTATCAGTATCACGATCAGCAGCTGGGCGGTTGCCAGTTACAAACAATTGTTTTTCAGTGTGAGCATCTTCCTTTTCAGTATCCATTCTCTTCTCAGCTCGAGTATCCTTTTCTTTATCTTCAGGACCCCACCTCGTAGACCACTTGTTATCTCTTCTGGTTTCAATACCAGAACTACGAGTATTGGTATCCCAACGATCTGAAGAAGGTAAAGGTCTACCTTCAGAAGCATCCCTAATAGAAACATCAGCACGCCGATCTTCTTTTCTGCGGTCTCTTCTACCAAGTAAGCCTGTTTCTCTCTCCTCTTCGCGCCAACGGCGACTGCTTTCAAGGTCGATGGCACTCTTCCTCCATTCTTTCTTGTCTTGAGCTCCATCTAAACGCCAAGAGTCCTTCAGGTTTTGGTCCGTTGAGTTACCTTGGGGCAAAGGATTGGGTGCTCGCATTTTCTGACATTTTTTTTGGATACAGAGAATTATAATGTAGACTAGTAGACATATCAACAAGGGATATATTGTACCATGAATCATTCAACATTCAGACATACAACATGAATAGTAAAGAAACATCTCTCAAGTCAGCTATTTAGATATTGTGGAGAGGTTGCTTTTCAGTTAAAAACTTGGTATCCAGGTCAACATAAAAAACTTAATTTTCAATCTCTATAGGTCTAATTGCAACTAAACAACAAAGAAACGTGGGTGTTATCACTATAGCCCAAAGCTAAAGCATGAAATCATAAGAAAGAAAGTATACTTAACAGCTGACAACTGCAACTGTTGCATAATTGTGATGATAAAAGCCTAAAGTACAAGCGACAAACACCACACCCCATATCGCAAAAGACTACCAGGAAAAGAGTGCGGCAATTTTTTACTAAGCTTTCATAAAACTTGAACAGATCCATTCACTTCTCATGTAGCTAAAAGCAAGAAAGCGGAGTAAGTATTCAAAATTTCATACCCCGGATGGTCCAGTCGTTAACATCTTTGCATCCGTTGATTTAGAATACAGCCACTGAGGAGACAGAGGTATGCTACTTTCTGAGTTTACTTGATCTACAATTGCAATAAAGGAAAATATGCAAAAAAATTAAAAACTTCGAACAGACAACACATGAATTAGGACTGCGTGCTAAACACATTTACAAGACAACTACCTTTTGTCTCATCAGCTAACCCCATAAGCACCTTCTCCTCACCATTTCCTTCCCAAGACTCATCTGATTCAGGATTAGAAAGAGAGAGAGAGTGAGAGAATACCAAGACGTCAATGACAGCTTTAAGCTCAAGTTTTTCTTTTAAAAAAAAAAACCTATTATATGGAAAAGAGAACTAAAGAAAAAATCAGCATCCTATACCCAACATCTTAGGCTGCAATTATTAAAAGAGAATTATAATTAAGCAAAAAACCAACGAAAGAAATTAAAAAACATGAGTGAGAGAGAGAGAGACAGAAGTATAAAGGATAGAAAGAGAGGTATAAAGGATAGCTTATAGAAAAAGAAGTTCAACTCTATCCTCAAAGAGACTTAGGGCACTAATATAAACAACATTTAGATGTGCACGAAAGCCATGCCAATATTAAGAACAACCACAGGGAATTTGTACTTGATTCAACTTCTGACATGTCCGATTGAAACCTCAAAACTAGGTTCTGTAAACTTCATAATTAACCAAGTGGATGACTAAAAAAAGAGTAGTACAAAATTCGCTCAAAGTAGTAAATCTACATCCCCTCCCCCCCGGGGCATTCTCGAACAGCTAAGCAGATAATTGAAAGAGGATTCTCGCATCAAAGCATATAGAACACTGGAACAGGTTTAGAACTCCCAATTCGAAATGATTTTGAGTCCATTTATTACTCCAAACTGACGCTAAACAAATAACACCAAAAATAAGAAGACGCGACCTCAGAAGAAGTCTAACAGCAGTAATAGAAGCAACGAAGTCAATGAAGCTTACCGAGTGGATATCTTTCAAGAACTAAATCAGTGATAGGAGAAGATAACGCACCACAGATCCATAGAAAATGACTTGAGAAATCAAATAAAGGGAAAAAAATACAGAAACAAAGATCACGATAAAAAATGCAACTGAATAAAAATAAACGAATACGTTAAAGACAGACAGATATAGCGCAAGAGAGTACTGTAAGAAATACCTTTAACAGAGCAGTGTTCATCAATCGTCTGAGAGGAGAGGAGATCTTCAGGCAGATCAAGCTTTCCGTCAACCATCGCTGTCTGGCGCCTACTTCCGAGAAAATTCGAGGCAAAGATCGAGAAGAGAACGCGAACACGGCGCTCAAATGACAACACTCAGAGAGCGGGAGAGAGAGAGAGAGAGAGAGAAAGACGGAATCAAATAGTTGCGGACCTCGGAGAGAATCAATCTTGTGTGCAGAAAACGATTTCTAGGGTTTGAGGAATTGCAGAGAACAGATGCAGAGAGGGAGAGGGAGAATGGAGGGAGGAGAGAGAGAGAGGGAGATAGAAACAGACCGAGATGGTAAGGGTTTGGAGATGTGTTTTTGTGCTGGGATCTTTTTATTTTTCATCCGAGCTCACAGAAGATATACTGAGCAGTTCTGGCCCTTCTGGGCTTGTAGCATCATTTTCATGTGTAGTTTTAAAATTCTCTCTCTATCATGTGTAGCAAAATTTCCCATAACAGAGTTGAGACCCGGAAGAAACGTAAAATATTTTTCTTTTATTTTTGTTTTAAATATTAGGGCATTTTTTATTTATAATAAATAAATAATTTAGCAAATATAAAATTTTAAAAATGGTAAAATAATATAATACTTACGTTATTTTTATTATTTTTTTAAATTCTAAATTTTACTTTTAATAATTATAAAATAAGTTCAATACAAAAAAACCTTCATTTATAAAACAGGACCTACATATTTTAATTTCTGATAAAAGAAAATTTCTTACTAGTGTTCTGTTGTTAAATATTTCTTTATGAAATTTAACTATTTAATAAACATGTTGTTTAAACTAATGAACTAAAAAATCTAAACATTTTAAATATAAAATTCTTCAAACCAATGAGACAATCACAATTTAAATCTAACTATACTCCATTAGATATGCCAAATTTCTAAAGAAAATTATCTACAATAAAATATTTTTAATTAAAGTTGTAATAATTTATTATAATAAAATTTTATTTAATCATCGTAATTATACCAACATATCAATATATTAAATTATAAATTCATTAAATCAAATTTTATAAATAGTTAGTCCACAATGTACTTATAAAAAAAAATTTACTGTCTTTAATAAAATTTAAATATCTAACTTTTAACTGAAACATTCAAATCTCAATCACTAATACTTATGATAATACACCAAATTTAACTAATCCTACCAAGATTATTAAATTCAATTGGCTCAATTCAACCTAATTTGGTGGAAATTCAAGTTTGTCCAACGTAATATTTCATTAACAAAAACAATAGATGAATAATTCATCTATTGCAGTTGATAGAATTTGAAACAAATTTATTTGAATTCTACAAAAGTTTTCATATAAGTTCAATTTTTATTACCTCCCAAAAAAGTTTACATAGTTCCTAACTAAAATAGATATATGAATTTACAAATAAATTCCGCTATCTATTTGTGCAATTCCACAATAACTAGAGTAGAAATGCTTAATGAGATCTGCTTTAACAATACGCAACTCATTTATACAAATTATCCCAAAGGAAGCAACTAGACGATGCAAATTAAGCCAAAAATAACTCAAAACTCTCACGAACCTGTCAAAGGAAAACCATAAAGATTCCTTCCAAAACCAACAAGGTTGCCAAGAAGCCCAACTTTTTATACACAAGTATAAAAGGACACTTTTCAGTAAGAGGCAAACCATTTTAAATTAAGCATCTCACAAATATCTTTTGTTAGTAAAAATCTATTTCTTCTACTCACAATTTAAATTTCATCGGGTGAAAAAAATACAAGACTGATGGTTATGTTGAATCCTAATGGTCGGCAACTGCAATTTTTCCTGATCTTATTGAAACTAAGACTTAATCTTTCCATATGACAAGAGTAGCCTAAATAAAACTTAAAATTAGAGCAGCTCCAGCCTCATCCTCCTACCATATATCCTAAACTACTACCCTACAAAGAATCTATTACGCACCTTAAGACATCCTCCGGGCAGCTGCCTTGGCAAAAAGCTCTTTCCGCTTCTGTCTTCTGCATCTCGGGATGTTTGCATAGAGCTATGTTTATCGAATGAACTATACAAAACTATCTAAAAGTAAATGGAGAACAATTTACAAAAAGATGTACAAATATGTGCCAACTGCGGAGAGATATACAACTCGGAGCCACAAACCAATTAATCTTCAAGACGTTGGATCTCACCCATCAGGATACGGTTACTGGAAACCTTGAAGCCAAGGAGAGAAGGATCTATCTGTCTTCCTTTTTTTCCTTTCTTTTTGCCACTTTTTCCCACTTGTGCACCATCAGATACTTCCTGGGCCCCGATCAAGGTGTCAGGCTCAGGATGTACAGGTTTCTTAAGCACATCCATGAATGTCTCTGACACTGAAGCATCACTACAAGACGATGTCCTCCTAAAATTCACATCTTTCTTGCTGGATGCCTGAGTTTCAGAGGTTCGAGGAGCAGCCGGTATCCCTACAGACTCCCGCCTTACTTCTGAAAGTTACCAGTCTCCTCATCATAAATAAACCATCTATGATTGAATATATATGAAACCAAAATTCTATACACAGGTGTAACTGTTCAAGTAATGTAATCTCATACCATTTGAAGCTGCAAGGTTCATTGAACTTTTTTGCTTGACAAATGCAACTGGGGTTGAATCGAACAAAACATCCTGAGATGATGCAGCCCGTGATAAAGGCCGCCGCTTATGCAAAGTATTGTCAAACCCTTTAGATGACCTATCAATCAAAAGTGGATATAAATAGAAGTAAAAAAAAAAAAAAAATAGCAAAAATGTCCATTTATCGAAACCCAGTAGTTCCTCAACAAAGTAATATCCTTCAAATCATTGTGCTTGCTCAAGTAACATTTTCCAGCAATTCCATCAATTATAACCATATCCTGAACAACAGGTGCACAAAAACATATCAAGTGCTGCGAGTTATTTAATGGGCATGGCCATTAGATTTTACCAATCTTTATCATGTTTCCTGAAATACCAGTCTTCATTCTATAGTTTGCATTATAATTGAGTATAACTTGACCATGCCCATAACTTTCCACATGATTGCAACACCAAGTCATGCAACACAAAGTAAAACCAATTACAAATAAGTATGCTACATAATTTCCATTTTCCTTGAGATGCTATAATAAAATAACAAGAAATCAATAGTATTGCCAAACAGTCATGTAAGATTGAAACCAAACTAATTAAATCTCAAGCATACCACCCAACCACCCAACTTCCCAACTTTCTTTTGAGTTTATAATGAATTAACAAGAAACTATCAATTTTTCGCTCATCAAGTAAGACTCTTCCCCAAGCAAAGAACCTGAAGTTGCAAGGCTGTGTTGATAAACTGATTCCCTGAGCAAATATGTAGACAACTTATTGGGCATCAAATTCATGACAAATATCAGTCCAGCAACATGAAACAAAGAAAAGAATCCCACCTCACATTAGAAACATCCTCTCCGGTTGATTTGTCCAATCCAATTTCATATGAACTGACAATCCCACCTGCAACATTTAACACTCCTCCTGAGTTTCAAACATTAATTATAATGATGAATCACAGAAAATAACAGATTTTAAATATTACCAGAACTACTAAGCGAGCTACTCCTGCTATGGGCATTAATCTGCAGCCTCCCACCATCCATGGCTTTTTTTTTTTGCTCTGTCTCTAAAAGGGAGCTGCTTGTTGCTTTGGAGCCATACCTCTTTCCTTCCTTCCCTCCTTCCAGCTCTACCAGGTCTTTATCCACGCTTGATTTGGCAATCAAATGAGAATCCGTGTAAATAGCATGGGAGAGATCCCGAGCACCTAATAACAAAGACTGCTCATCTGCTATTGCTCCCGAATTCGATCTAAGGAGTAACCTTTCACCATTTCCAGTACGATTTACTTGTTCATTCAAAGCAGCACCAAAAAAATGATTCTGCAAGATGGCACCTGAGTTGGAATTCTGGAGCTCTTCCACAAATAAACTATTTGAACCAGTTTCTTTAGGAAGGGAAAAACTTGAAGTATATTGCTCAGAAAGAGGATCAAAGGTCTCATGTCCTCTAGAAGATGCTTGAGGATATGGATGATTGATTTCTAATGACTGTGTAGACTGTACGCTCTCAGCCTGACGATTGAGAAGGTCGAACAGCACTAGCTTAGACTTCTCCTCAGCAGGTACAGAAGCCCAAATAGTTGGATCTGAAGAGATCACAGAATTTTCTGACATTTTCCTCTGCTTTTCACCCTCAAAGTGAAACTGTTGGATTGGATTCTCATTCCAACTATTTTCTACCTGCCCTTTATTCCCAAGGCGGTAGCTGTCTATCATACCTGAACGGGGAACATAAAACTCTTCTGAAGGTATACCCGAAGAAAAAGAAGCAACCTGGTCATTTCCATGCATGTAGCGGTGTTCTGGTAAATCAAAAGCATTCACATTTTCCAAGTTGATGTTAGGTGTGCCAGAAGCAATGGGCATTTTCCTCTCAAATGAGGTAGAGCTGTGCTCAAAAAGCTCTCGCTGATGCTGCTCCTGTAAGGCATGATTCCATTTAAGTTTGCTGAAGTGCTCCTCAACAGAGGAAAGCCTCGGCTGTTGGTGGTAAGGATCGGAAGCACTAAATCCTGCAGATGGAGGCAGATGATGACCAACAGGATTACTGACAAACTGATCAACTTCACCAACCGACCATGGTCCAGCAACACGCCTTTCACCATCCATTCCTAATTGCTGCCTCAAAGCCATTGATAATTGTTGTGCCTGTATCTGTTCATTTTGCATGCGAAGTTGTTGCTCTGGAGGCAAAATATTACCATGCTTTGCATGTGATATAAGGTCCAACAAATCACTCTGCTGTCCCCGCAATGCACTCTGGTTAATCTTAGCTTGGATTATCTGCTCCAATGCTGGGTCTAGGTGCCTTGACGAGTTAAAATTGTACTGTTGAAGTTCATGAAGGAGATGCATCCTCCGTTGAACTGGATCAACTACATCATCTCTCAGCATGTCTAACTTTGGTTGCCCATAACCAGGATCAGACATCTGATGCTGAAGCAACCCTTCAAGAAGTAGCTGTTGAGCATGAGATTGCTGCTGCTGCTGCTGCTGCTGCTGCTGTATCAATAACTTCAGATGTTGGTTGCGGAGCTGCTGCTCCTGCTGCTGCTGCTGCATCAACAGTTGCTGCTGCATAAATTCACGCTGCTGCCGAAGCTCAAGCTGCTGCTGGAGCTCAAGTTGCTGCCGGAGCTCAAGCTGCTGCTGAAGCTCAAGCTGTTGCTGAAGCTCAAGCTGCTGCTGAAGCTCAAGTTGGTGCTGAAGTTCGAGCTGTTGCTGAAGCTCCAGCTGCTGCCGGAGCTCAAGCTGCCGCTGCTGCTGAACTTTAATTTGAAAAAGATGGTCCAGATCTTGCACAGGATGATGAAGTGACTGCTGAAGATTAGAATTTTTACCCTGCAAAGCAGCAAAACTGGGTATTTGCTCTACCCCCACTCCACTAGCATGTGAAAAAGAATGATTTAGATGATCCTGTTGCTTAAGATGTTCCTCAAGAAACTTTTGGGAGATCATGTGCTCTCCCAAGTCAAGGGCATTGAACTCCTGTTCCCGGTGAGATAACTGACGCACATCCACAGGACCTAGATGAGCATTGGGGTAGCGATCAGCAGACCATGTTTCCAGAAAAGCAGGTTGATCCACCATGGTTCTGAGAGAACTCTGATTAACAAAACCAGCATCTCTCTCAAGCAAATGATTGCTGATCTGACTTGGAGAAGCTATGTTCGAAGCCATGTTGGATGACTTAGAACCCCCTTAAATCAGAGGTCTCTTGGAGCTCAGACATTAACAGACCAAAAGGATGTAATTTATCATCCTGAGTAGGCACTGAAAATTCATCTGCTGGAGAAGGATTACTCATATGATTGGAAAATGAACTACTTATGTCAGTAGCAGGAAACTTCAACCGGGTCCCCCCTTGCTACTACCCAGGCCTTCCAGGAAAGACAATTTCTACATTAAAGAAGAAAATCAAGAAAGATAAATAAGAAGTAAAAAAATAATAATAATAATAAAAGTAATAGCAGATCAAGGCTATTAACATGCCTTCATCTTGAACAACAAGATCTTGGAAGCTCTGATCATCAGAATGCTGAACGTTGGAGCAATAACCTTCATTTACACTTGACTGGTCATTGACACCAGAAGTACTTACAACAATAGATGGAGCCCTTTGCTGCTCATTTATAGCTGCAACCCCCTTAAAATAAGGTGCTGAACAAGAACTTATGCTTTCTTCCACAATGCCTTCAACAGCATTCGATAGTTGCATCCTAGTACCAACATTGGCGTCAGATCTTTGCCTTAGATGTGGCATGACTTCACCAAGTTCCTTAAAAGGCGATCCATCAGGAGCATCTGACAATCGAACAGGTAAATCGGTTCCAAAATATCCTTGCTCAAACCATGTAATGATGTCAATCCCCAGATAAGGTCCCTGAATTACACCCTGGGGATCAAGATAGCATAAACTTAACTCCTCAGGTGGGAGAACGGTTTCCACTGGCCGTGTGCCCTTTACCTCCAGATGGACCTGGTTGCTGCTTGCGATTTGAGGCTTTGATGGAAAATCAGACAGAGAACCTGATTCTTCCGGAAGCAGCTGACTCCCAACTCCAGAAATAGCTGCCTCAGTAACTTCCAACTTAGCATATTTTGAAGCTAAATCCACCAATTCTTGCTTCTCGAAATATTTTAGTTCACAGATATTCTCTCCAGCACCATTTATCTCACCACCACCGCTGGAGTTGTATATTTTCAAAGCTGATGGCACTGAAACCTCAGTTGCAGCACCATCAATGGCGGTAAGATGCTTATCACCATATTTAGAAGTGTCCCTTTCTGAAATGAAAAGCAGAAACAATTACAACCATAATAAAAAAAATACATTATATTTGCAGGAGGAATTAATCAGCCACTGTCAACAAATACAATCAAGAACATTTTCTTTCCAGAAAGAATGAATGAAATGGCATTTTTTTACCCTGGACAGTAACCTTCTCCTGATCAAAGGTAACTGATGTGTCAGCATCATAATCTCTACGAGAACTGTTTCTAGATAGCTCCCCAGAGATTTTAACCATTTCTTCAGAGTTGTCTAAAGAACTATCTTTGCCCTCAGTTAATGCCATGTCACCAATCCCTGAAAAACAACAAATATCTGCATCAGAAATAAGTCTTAATATTCTATTAGCAAAGGACGAAGAAAGTGACACTTTGATTACCTCTAGCACTATCATTTGTCGCCCCATTCCTGTCTCTGGATGAGTACTGTAGTTCTCCACTGCTTGTAATTCTTCCCTTCCATATATCCCCAAGGACAGACTGCAAGCATCATAACCAATTTGAAGTGACAATATATATAAAACTTTGTTACCGAGTAGAAAATTTAAGATACAGTAATATACCTCCTCCTCTGCATCAGGAGCAACAAAAGCCAATGGCTCAATAGCAGATATCTGTGTTATTGACGATACTTGGTCCATGCCATCAGGTACGGTATCAAAATCTGGAGAGGTTTTTTGTTTCCGATAAATGTCAAGAAGTTTTCCTCTTGGGTAGCAATATACACTAGTGGGCTGCCCAAATTTAACGTATGTGCCGCTATTTCTATCAACAGGGGCAAAACCGATGGCAGAGTTAGAGGGAGGCCTTCCAATCTGGAGGCTTCCACTAACATTACTGTTAGATCTTCCTCGGCCAGGGGCAAAACGCACACTTGATCCTTCCATCCTTCCCCTCTCCAACCCAATTCCTTGGACAGGGCGATATGGTGCAGATCCACCAGTATGAACTTCCATACGATGGCGTGGTCTCCATTTATCACGAGCATCAGTATCACGCTCAGAAGCCACGCGGTTGCCGCTTACAAATGATTGTTTATCAGTATGAGTATCTTCCTTCTCAGAATCCATTCTCTTCTCGGTCCGAGTTTCCTTTTCTCTATCTTCAGGACCCCATCTTGTGGACCACTTGCTGTCTCTTCTGGATTCAAGACCTGAACTACGGGTATTGCTATCATGCCAACGGTCAGAAGAAGGCAAAGATCTACCTTCAGAAGCATCCCTAGCAGAAACATCAGTTCGCCGTTCCTCTTTTCTGCGATCTCTTCTACCAAGTAAGCCTGTTTCTCTCTCCTCTTCACGCCAGCGGCGACTATTTTCAACATCAAGGGAATTCTTTCTCCATTCTTTCTTGTCCTGGGATCCATCTAAACGCCAACTGTCCTTCGGGTTTGGATCAGTTGAGCTTCCATGTGGCAAAGAATTTGGTGCTCGAATTTCCTGTCATTTTTTTAACACAAAACATACTTATCAGACCACAACTGAGTTTTAAGGTATAGTAGCCAGGAAATAATCTGAAACAATTATGAGAAGCGGCAGAAAGTATAACAAGCAGCACAAGAAACTGCTACATAACACAAGTTCTCTTGAATAACCGAGGTGAAAAAGTAATGAAGTCAAGTAACAATTGCCAACTCTTAACACCCACCAAATCCCCCCTCCAATAAAAAAATGGAAAAATAGCAAAACATTAATTTTCAAGTAACATGCAGTCTGTCACATATCAGTGAGTAAAAGTTGAATAGGCCATTTCCTCTCATATAGCTAAATCAAACAACCAATGAAGTTAAATATATTAAAATAGAACAGTTCAAGATTCTCATACCCCAGATGTTCCACTTGTCAACATCTTTGCATCCATCGATTTTGAGTAAAGCCACTGAGGAGAGAGAGGAATGCTGCTTTCTGATGCTACTTGATCTAAAACCAATATAGAAGGGAAAAGTCACGAATTTAAAAGAGAGATGGAAACTATAATCTGCTAATGATAATTTAACAGTACAAATGACCCTACATCCGACCACCATTGGAATGAAATGATAAGGAAAAATATACATCATTCAGCTCAGAATAAAAGATGGAAACCAAACAGATAAAAAGAGATAATAGTTCATAACAAACAACTAAGCATTCCTAACTCAATGGCACAGCTCAAACTCAGTGGCCACTGTACATATATAAACTTCAAATAATCACGTAATACATAAGCAGATGACTAAAAGAAGGTTTGTCCGTCAAATTCAAATCTGCAAGTGAGAACAACTGGTTTCGATTCAATGATTGAACAATTTTGAATCATTTTGTTATTAGAAAGTAACGCAAAATAAATAATAGAAATGAGAACAACAGGATCTCAAACCAATCTAACAAGAGATGCCAAGCCAAAAGAAGCAAGGAAGTCAACGGAACCACCTAGATATTGAATTTATGTCCTCCAAGTACCAAAAATTTGATACGACAGATCGATGGAACACAACTTAAAATTCAATAACAGAAAGAGAAGCATAAAAGATAAAATCAACGTAAAATGCAATTGAATAAATGGAAGGGACATGTAGCATAGAGATGAAGCAAGAGATTTTACCTTTGACGGAGCAGTGCTCGTCAATCGTCTGGGAGGAGAGGAGATCATCAGGCAGATCGAGCTTTCTGTCAACCATCGTCGTCTAACGCCTAAATTGCAGGAAGTTCGGGAAAGAGATCGAAGAAATACGAGCAGAATACAGCTCTGAAATAACTTATGGATATCAAATCGAATGGCTCGGGGACTCGAAGAGGATAAATACTTTCTGTGAATAGATGAATAATCTGAGAGATGGCAAAAGAGAGATCGCTAGGGTTTGAGGAATTGCAGGGTTTGGGAAAGAGGGAAAATATGCAACCAGAGAGCGAGCGAGCGAGCGAGCGAGACACAGAAAGAGAGAGCGAGACAGAGACGGAGACGGTAAGGGTTTGGGTGAGGCGAGTCGGGTTGAGTTGAAATCAATTTTTTCTCCTTTTTCTTTTTTCATTTAAGCGTTATCTCCAATTTTCAATAATCTAATATTAATATTTTCATAATGTAATAATATAAATACTATAGCTTGTTAAAAAATTTTAATTAATTCAGCTAAATAATATTACAAATTTTTAAATGTATCAACAGTAAATATTAACATTTTAATATCATAATTTTTGTACTTTAATTAATTTTTCTTTTGCTCCAATTCGACTCTCTCACAATTTCTTAATAAGTTAAAAATATATATTCTCAAATAATTTTTTATTATAAAAATTATTCTTACATTTTTACGTAAATATACTCTTACATTTCTTAATAAGTTAAAAAATATGTTCATAATTTTTTAAGAAATGTATTTTTTTATTCCTATTCGTTTTCTCAATCATCATTTCATTTTTTTAAATATGCACATGACTAAATATTGTATAAAAATATATCTTATATTTTTAAAAAAATTTCAATGTCAATTTATTTAATGAATTATTATTAGTTGTAGGCGACTAATTATTTTATGTTATTCATGAAATTTAATATTTATTTTTTATTTAAATTTTTTATATATTCTCTAAAATTAAACTGTTTTATGAGTTTTGATTTCTTTAATTTATTAATTTTATGTGATTGTTTTGATATGGTTTTGGTTTTTCTGTTATATAATTTTATAAGATTTATCTTAATAAAAAAAATATTATTTATTTATAAAATTTATTTTGATGTGAAAAATATTATTTATTATAGTGTTATTGGTAATGATTATGTGGGATTTCTACAATTTTTTCTCACTTTATATTCTTTATTAAAATTTTTATTTTTATGTTAAAAAATACAAATAAATAATTCGATTAATATATATATTAAAACTTAATAATGTTTAAAAATTAATAAATAAAATAAAAATAATTATTTTAATATTTATAATTATTTTTAGTATATACGATAGCTTCTGTTTTTTAAAATGATAACATTTTTTTATAATTATTTTTACAAAAGATATTACAACTTATTTACTAAAAAAATTTGACTGAAAAACTTTTATAATAATACTTTTACTAATAGTATAAGATAAATAATGTCAAATGGACTTTAAGACAATGTTATTATTTAGAATTATAAAAATATATTAACGATAATCTTGTAAATAAAATAAATTTAGCAACATCACTACGCATATTATTAAAAATTGTTTACTATAAATTGTTTAGATAATTGTGATGTTCATCAAAGTTACATATAATATTTGTGCGATAAAAAACTTAAAAACTAAAAATCCAACCTTTACATGAGTGATATAAACATAATGTATCAATCTTCATATTTAAACTTAATATAGCTTTTCAATTATAGAATTTTATGATAGAGCATAAAAACTTATGTTTTAAATGTAAGGCCTTAATAGGATAGAGGGATAGACGGTGGGGATCAGAGTTATGATGGATGGTTGGGATTAGGGGAGAGGTATATATATATATATATATAATTGCAGTAAATTAAAAAAAGGGAAAAAAAGGGCCAGAAAAAAAACAGAAAAGGAAAAAAAAAAAGAACAGAAAAGGGGGGAAAGAATAAGAGAAATTGAGGAATCGGGAGGGAGACTGAGAGGAAGTCAAAGAAGAACAATTGAGTTATAAGACTATGGAAGTAAGAGGTAAATGAATTTGAAATTTCAACCTTTGTGATGGTAAATCGGTATGGACTTGGTTATGTATTCATTTGTGAGTTTGGAAAAAATAGAGAGATGAGGAGTGACAAATGAAACGAGTGTGTGTGTGCGGTGGATTTTGAGAGGTGATACACCGATATTGGTGACAACCTGTAACCTATTTGAGGTGCCGATATTGATGTCGATGGTAATGTGTGTCTGGTGGAGTTCAGGAAATGGTGCGCCGATATTGGCAACGACTTGAAATGTACTGGAGGCGTCGATGCTGGTGGTGGTGGGGTGTGTGTGTGTATCTAGCCGAACAGGGACCGGTGTGTGTGTGTATGAAATATATTCACTAGTTGCTGGTGGTAACGTTTAAATGCTTGTCGGGTGTGTGTGTATGTGTGTATGAGATATATTCACTAGTTGCTGATGGTGAGGTTTAAATGCTTGTCGGGTGTGTGTGTGTGTGTGTGTGTGTGTATGAGATATATTCACTAGTTACTGGTGGTCTGGTTTAAATGCTTGTCGAGTGTGTATGTGTTGTTGAGATGTGTGTGAGTGGCTGAATTAGGGCCAGTGTGGGTGAGTATGAGGTGTCTTTTATGATTATTGGTGATATTACTGAGATGCGTGTGTTTGGCAAAATTAGGGTCGGTGTGTGTGTGTGTGTGTGTGTGAAGTGTCTCACGAGTGATGGTGGTATCATAAAGGAAATGGAATTATATATATGTGTTGATGTTGTGTTGGGAAGAAGTGGTACGGTGGTGTGTGTGTGTGTGTGTGGCTAATTACAGGTCGGTGTGTGTACAAATTTTAAGTAGTTGAGGTATTTTGGGAGTGTTGATGTTGGGCCTGTTGTTGGGAGAGAGTGTTAAGGGTGTGTGAGTGCACGGATAGGGAAGTGTGGGAAGTGGGTGTTGGGAGTGTGTTAGGTGAGCAAATGACGCATTTTATTGGTGGTGAACGTGGTAGTATTATTGTATTGGTTGTAATAGTGTGGGTGGATGGATATATCAGGGAGTATGTGGAGAGGTTGAGGTGATGTTGGATAGGGAGATGGGGTGACTGGAGAATTAACTAAGGGTAGGTGAAATAGTTAGGAGAGGGTTACAAGATACAATAGATGGGGAATGGGAGGAGAATTGTGTCATAAGCGTAGGTAGGACATGGGGTTAACGGTCTTTATGTATTTTCATACTCTGTTTGAACTTTGAATTTATTTCACTATGCTATGCGCTCACTATATGTCATTGCAGATGTAGTAAAACGAAAAGTATAGCTAAAAACTCAGGTAGTGAGACAATACTTAGATGAAGTAAATTGATAGTATATTACTCATTAATTTCCATTTATTACTTGGGATAGTAAGTTGTAAATCGAAACACTAAAATTGCTTGAGGTAGACTCAACGAGTTACATGTATACTGAACTTTTAGTCTTTGATGCATTTGTGGATAGAACTTAATAAAATACAGGTGGAATAATATTTTTGAAACACCAAAGGGTGTTATAGTTAGTATTATAGTAAGTTTATAGGGTTTAATAATTGTGTAGTAGGTGGTAGGAATGTTACACTTCGAGTAACTGATGGGGATCATTGTCACGCATGTAGACAAAGAGAGTGGATGAAGAGAAACATAGGTCGTCCCCACATAGGATCCACACCAGCACCCCAGGATCCCCCAACGGCACCTCAGGAGGCGCCTTCTTTCCACCAAGTGCCCCTATTTACTTTTTAAGGACTGCCCCCTTTTCCATCTGTGCCACCCATTACCTACCAGAGACCCCTTCCATTTCGCCAGCACCACATTTGAGGCAAATAACGAGACACCAAGATGATTTCAATCGTTTGTGTAGGGTAGTCGAAAGCTTGGTGACAATTATTCGAGAGAGGGAATTGGGGGTGGAGACATCCTACATCTCAAAATATAATGTTAGTCAGGGGGGAGTAGACACAAGTAACATTGAGAAGTATCAGAGACTCAACCCCTCGGCATTTAATGGGGGCTCCGACCCACTAAAGGCTGAAGATTAGATAAAAAAAATAGGGAAACTATTCGATGTGATAGAGGTTACCCCTGAACATAAGGTACAACTAACTACTTTTATGTTGAGAGGTCTAGCAGAGCATTGGTGGAGTTTAAAAAGGGGAGCCTTAATCCCCCAATTGACTTGGGAAGTCTTTCTTAAAGTTTTCAATGCAGAGTACTTCCCATATTTTATTAGACAACAAAAAGAGACTGAGTTAGTAGAGCTCCGACAAGGGAGACTGTCGGTGGCAAAGTATGTAGAGAGATACATAAGTTTGGGATGGTTTTCCCCAGAGGATATGATGAATGAGTAGAAGAAGGTTGGGAGGTTTGAAAAAGTGTTGAGGCCGGAACTGTATCATCAAGTAGCGGTGTTCACGCTACCCACATATCAAGCACCATTAGAGAAGGCACAGCTAGTAGAGACTTTATACAGAGAACACATGGAGTACAGTAGAGGGTTTTCCAGCTCCAAACAGGTACCACCACAACTTTATCAGATAGAGAAGAGATAGAGGATAGTGCAAGATTTAACTCCAAGTCACCAAATAGTTGCGAGGAGTATAGATTGCATGCGTTGTGGTAGGAGTCATGGAAATCATTCGTGTACTACTATTAATCGAGGATGTTACTGATGTGGTAGCACCCAGCATTTTGTACAAAATTGTCCCCTACCTAAGGAGCCCATTAGACCATTGGTGCAGGGTCGGGTATTCGCTTTGATAGCTCAAGATGCAGAGGCGACCCCGAAGGTCATACAAGGTACACTTTATGTTTTAAGTTTTCCTACTTAATCAAATAAGTTCATAAGACCGAGTGTGTCACCATGGGAGCGCCAGTGTTGTTTGCAAAAAAGAATGACAGAACTATGCATATGTGTAACGATCTCAGAAATTTAAAAGAAAGTACATATAATAATTTGAGTGCGGAAGTGAAATAAACGTTAAAGTTAACATCCCTTACACGATAACTTAAAAGTACTAAACAAACATCACAGAATAAATTCTCTAAAAGAAATATGATAAATGGAAAAAATAAAGGAAACTATAAATTATCTAGCATATATTTGCAGACTTCTTACGGATCGGGCTCGAGAACAATGTCCTCCTGATCTGAAATGGTTAAATAAGGAGTGAGCTATACTAACCCAGTAGGGACATCACGCGATGTCGCCAGCACATAAGTAAAGATTGGTAGAAAACCAAAAATAACCAATGGAGCACTAAATTTAAACCAATACATTCATTAAAGTTAAAACTATTTACCCTTTTACTTACCATTGGAGAATATGTGAAAACAACTTATAAA